GAGAGAGAGAGAGAGAGAGAGAGAGAGAGATGATATTTGCATACCTTTATATCATCAACTGTTTCTACTACTTCCTGCTGACTTGTGCGAACTCCCCTAAGTTCCTGCCTCATTAGTGCCACTTCCTCATGTAGTAATTCAATGTAACTATCCAGTTCTTGGATCTTCATGGAGCTTCGTGAACGGCTCATCCCATTATCTGAGAGCTCCCCAGGGCATTCTGCCGGGAACTTTGCATCACTGACTGATGAAAGTCTTTCCTGAAACAAGAATGGATGCAGATAAGAGTTGCTCATAATTCCTACACAAACAAACGGTATATCTGCCTCGGCCGACGGCCCTTTGAACTCACACCCAGAAAAAGTGAGAAAAGGGGCTCACATTTGTGCCCTCCATCGCATCTCCATTGTACAGACTTGTCAAGAGCGTATACGCTATCCAGTCTCCACTCTGTGAGCCGGAGCTTGTCGAGTATTTGCTCACACGTCTAAAATGACTCATAGAAGCAATTAAAGAGATAAAGAAATATCAGAAACCTTTGGCATATGTGTTCTTAACAACTTGATAAGAACACTTGCTACCTTTTAGGGATTTGCACCAGAGAGCATAAAAGGTGAAGGCAAGCTCCGCTAGCTCAATAGTTTTATGTAGCGCCGACCTCCAGAACATGCGCATTGTAGCAAGCTTAACTGCAATTAACTTGGAATCAGATTGCAAAGAACATGAATCGAGATCAAGCATTCCAAAATCGGCATTGCTTGCCGCCTATTTCGGTATGGTTTCGATATATACCTAATTTACCAAAGGTGACATGAATTTGAAAGTGATGCAAGAACTTTGCAGTTATGTTTGTAACTTTTGATGACTAAATATCTCCATATCTATCCTTTTTTAACCAAATGGAGGCATCTGCATTCTGCTGTCTGCAGTTCTGTACGTATAGCGCAAAAGGCAAGCATAACTACTAGCTATGTACTCCCTCCGTTCTGAATTACTTGTCTTGGATTTGTCTAGATACAGATGTAACTAGACTCATTTTAGTGCTAGATACCTCCGTATCTAGACAAATTTAAGACAAATAATTTGGAACGGAGGGAGTATAACCAAGTAGTAATATAACACGACCTCCCACGGCGTATGGTCATTAGGTTCGGTTTCAGTATATACCATACTAGTATTTCGGTATGTTTTGACAGATGCCAAACTACAATGTTCATGGCAGGTTAGCTTCATGACAACAGTTCAGTCCAATTCAGAAATATAACGACAGTAAGTTGAACTGTAACAATCATCTCAACATATACAACGCATAGCCAGGAATCAGGAGAATGCAACTCAGAGCATTGTTTCATGGTGGTAAGAAAAATACTACTCCCTCCGTCGCAGAAATAGATGTATTTAAAACTAAAATACATCTAGATACATCCATACCTGAGACAAGTAATTCGGAACGGAGGGAGTAGAATGTACAAAAAGGAAAAAGCAAAGATAGGGAGTAATAAACTTTGTGTTCTCAAAGCATCTCTATGGCAATCCCAACTTTTAGCAGCAGAAAGAACCTAAAAGAAGTTCAGAAAAATGTTCCATTGGTGCAGCTTCACATCAGCAACTGCTATTGCAACCTATAATTTTATTTTTGGATTCACCAATAGTGAAGAACTACATATCGGACAGTGTACCATCAGCAGGTAGAAACTGTGTCGGCGTGAAAGGCCATCGTCCCAGATGGCATTTTGTCGATCACCTTGTGATGTAAGCAGTGAAATCATCTAGGTCCTTGCGCGACGAACCGCCGTCAACCACGGAGGCGCGGACGGCCTCCCCGAGCGCACTTGCCCGTTGCCGCATGGCCATTCCTTTGTCGGAGAGCATGGCCTCCTCGATGACTTCCTGTATGGCCTTCGCCGTGACCACCTCGCCGTGCTTCTCCCATGGCCGCACGAGGACGCCGGCCTTGAGGTAGTTGCAGACAAGCTCCGCGTCCCACGGCTGGTCGCAGTGCATGGGCCATGCCAGAATCGGCTTGCCGTGGCTCATGCTCTCCATGGTCGAGTTCCAGCCACAGTGGCTCATGAACGCCGCCGTGGCGCTGTGCGCTAGGATCTCCAGCTGCGGCGCCCACCCGGTGACCACCAGCCCCGTCCCTTCCGTCTGCTTGGTGAACTCTGATAGGAACTTGTCGTGGCGGCTCTCGCCGGCCTCGGCAAATATGTCGCCGCGGTCGGCGTCGCGCAGCACCCATATGAACCGTTGGTTGCTGCCGCGCAGTGCTGCTGCGAGCTCTTCAATTTGCTCGGCTCGCAGGGACGACGTGGTGCCGAAGGACACATACAACACCGACGCCGGAGGCTGCTCGTCCAGCCAGTTCAGGCACTCGTGGCGCTGCTTGCTCTGCCTCGGCGCGCTGTCGTGGAGCAGTGGGTTTAACGGCCCGATGGCGAAGAGCTTCTTGCCGTCGGCGGCCAGGTGCCCGGCGACGACGTCGATGAAATCACCCTCCAGCGCGCGGCACGTGTTTGCCAGGATGCCCGCGCCGGTCGAGATGTGCTTCGCCGGTCTGGCCCGGTTGGCGTACTCTATGAACTCCTTGGTCGCATAGCGCTCGACGGCGCCGAAGACGACGCCGTTCTGACGCAGTAGCCGGTGGTCGGCGTCGATTCTTCCGATGAGCATGGAGACGGCCACGCAGTTGAGCCCGAACGCCTCGCCGTTGGGCAGCCGCGCGGCCTCCTCGGCGGCGAAGGCGTTGATGCGGTCGTGCACTACGACCACGCGGCGGCAGGAACCGGAGAGGTCCTGGAGGAGGGCCGCGAGCGGGGCGCGCGCGCGGGCGGTGTAGGCTTCGAAGAGGGGCATGAGGTGGGAGGGGAAGGGCGAGTCGGCGGCGGGGTCTGGAGGCGGCGAGACGTAGCTGGCGATGCCGAGGTCGTGGAAGTGGATCGAGCGGAGCGCCTCGTCGCCCCAGCCGTGCACGCGCGTGCGCGCCTGCCGGACGTGCTGCGCCGCCGCGGCGTAGTGCACGCCCAGGCCGAGCGACGCCAGCTGCAGCGACAGGTGCAGCAGCTGGTTGAGGTGGCCCTGCGCCGGGAACGGCACCGCCACGACGGCCACGGAATCCATCGCGTGCTTCTCTCTCCCCATCGCCGTTCGTTGTGTGGTGCTGAGTGGCCGATGAGACTGAACGGGCTACACAGTGTGGGCGGGCTATATGTAGGAACTGTGGAAGCCAGCAAATGTCGGGTGAATCTTCAAGGGTGCGTTTGGTTGTAAGGGCGGTCATGAATGGGTTAGGATCGTTCAGAAAATAGACATGTTTGGTTATAAAGCACATGAATGGTTCGAGCCAAAAAAAGAGAATATGCCTTGAAGATGCTGAACCGTTCCACCCAACCAAATCGGTCGAATCAAATGGGCACCTTTTGCATGCATGACTATGTGAGTATGACTGGTGGTCCCGTCCTAAATAATTAGCTCACCACTTATATTCAGCCAAACACATGAATTGAATGGTTCAATCCCAAAAAAATTGAACGGTCCCAACCCATTCATACGATACCTTCAACCAAACGCATCCCAAATCTCCGGCGTTTATTTTCTCAGGATCGAACATGATTCGCAGATTAATTCACTTACCAAGTCAAATCTTC